TCACTCATTTAAAGTATACAATTCAGTAGATCTTAACATATTCACAGACTTGTGTAACCATCACCACAATCAATTTTAGAACATTTGCGTTACCCCCAAACAATTTCCTTACACTTTAGCAGTAACCCTCCCTAATTTCCCCCAACCCTGATTTCCCTAGTCAGTCAGTCACCTACTTTCTGTCTCTATAGATTTGCCTATTTTAGAAAGTTGATATAAGCTGATTCATACAATATATGGTCTTTTGTAACTGAGCATGTTGGCAAGGTTCCAAAGCAACTATACCACTTTACCTTCCCACCAGCAGTGTAACACAGTGCCTACCACATGGGGGTGCTCACAAATGTTCACTGAATGCATGAATGACAAAATGCAGGACACAGTCCACATTCTTCAGCATGCCATCCAAGGGCTTTCCTGATCAGGCCCTTACCTGTCTTTCTAGCGTTGCCTCTTGCGACTCCGTGGCCTATGTTTCCTTATAAACCTGTGCGCCATCTCGCATCCTGCTCCTTCTGCCTGGGCTGTGCTCCCCTTCACCCTGTTCAGGCTGTTGAACTTCTGTTCACCTCTAATGCGACCTTTTCCATGACACCTTAGTCAAAAATAAGCACCTTCTCTTGTTGTCCTTTCCACATTAAAAAAATTTTTTTTTAATTTTCGGGGGGAGGTAATTACATTTATTTTATTTATTTAAATGGAGGTAATGGGGATTTAATCCAGGACCTCATGCATGCTAGGCATGCACTCGACCAATGAGCTATACCCTCCGCCCTTCCACATTTTAAAAATAATTTTTTTTAATTATTGTGCGTTTTTTTAATTTAAGTATAGTTAGTTACAATGTGTCAATTTCTGGTGTACAGCACAATGTCCCAGGCATCCATATTCATACATATATTTGTTTTCATATTCTTTTTCATTAAACATTATTACAAGGTATTATAAATAGTTCCCTGTGCTGCACAGAAGAAATACAGTTTTTTATCTATTTTCTTAAATATTTTTTGTTGAGTTGTAGTCATTTTACACTGTTGTGTCAAATTCTGTTTGTATATCCCCCACTAGTTCTGTGAGCTCCTTAACGGTAGGCACTGGGTTCTACTTATCTTTGTACTCGCAGCGCTGACCCAGGACTTGGTCCACGGTTGTAATTAATAAATATTGGATTCATTGGACAAGCACAGGAAATAGCAAGAGCAAAGCTCCAAAGGTCGAAATGTGCTGGCAGGTGTGAGAAATGGCGAGTTTCCCAACTTGACTGCAAGCGGACATTTGTGAGTGGACTGCAGGTGGAGGGCCTAGAGTTACCTGGTCAGTTTGCCCTTTGGTGGACAGTGGGGACTGCTGGAGGGAATGGCCTGACTAAGACTGGGCCCGAGAAACATTAATCCAGCAGTCGTGTGCAGAATGAGTGGGAGGTGAGGGGACCATGTAGGAGGCTTTAGGCCAGGAGAGCAGAGTGAAGGTGAAAACCAAGCTAGAACATAAGGAAGGGCGGAGATGTGAGACAGAATATTAATGAATCTGCAGGGTTTGGAATGTGCCTGAAAATGAAGAATGAGGAAGATGGAGATGCTAAAAACTAGTCAAAGGCTTTTGTCCCCAGGTACCAGCGGAATGGTCAGGTTGAATAAGCACAGTCTTAGCTTACATTTGCTTCTGTGTGTCTTTGTGAAGTTAGACACTTTCTAAACATCTTTGGAAAAGTAAAAGATTTGTAAAAACACTTACTATGTATTATATTGTTGTTGCTACTTTCAAGAAAAAGAAAAAGAATGCAGGGCGTAAGAGTGACATATGGGGGGAGGGTACAGCTCAAGTGGTGGAACACATGCGCCGCACGCACGAGGTCGTGGATTCAATCCCCAGTGCTTCCATTAAAAATAAAAAATAAACCTAATTACCCCCCCCAAAAATAGTGACATTTAACTATAGTCCATCAATTGGGCAAAGTAGCCTTATGTG